ACTCACCTGGAGCCCCAGGCAGAGCCACCGCCTGCGCGCGGCCAGGGGCACGGGGTGCCCGTTCCCGCAGCAGCCCTGCCGCCACCTCTCCGCGGGGAGAGGGGACCGTCCCTCCCGGGAACCTATTCCCGGTCCTCTTGCACTCGCCGGCTCACACCCCACCACTAATGTCTCCAAGCTCCTGCCTCGCTATCTTTCACCTGGAAATTTTAAAATAAAGAGTGAAAATAGAAAAGAGAAATACAGCTGATCCACAACTCCACAGTCACGCTTTCACTAGTCAGCTCCCCCAGATCAGCAAAGGGCTGGGCAAGGAACTTCGCAGCCTGCTGACGCAGCGGCCAGGAGCCTGGCTGGCCGGGACCCGCGTCCCGCGCCTCCGCAGCGCAGGCACATGCGCAACGCCCTAATTTTTTTTATTTTTTTTAAATCTTGCCTTGAGCGGCTTGGGTGGTGAGCACACAATGCAACATCCAGAGGATGCATTATAATATCGTACACCTGAAACTTATATGATCTTATTAACCGATTCACCCCAATAAATTTAATAAAAATAGCATTTTAAAAAGTGTGCCGGTGGGGAATTTTTACTTGTAGTGAATAACTTCTCTAAATGATCTTACTTTAAAAAATAAAGAACAACTTGACACTGGCAAGCATATTAATTACTTTGAGTTCAAAGAAATGCCCAGCTTGATTTGATTAACACTTGGACTAAGTTCTGTTAAAATCAAGAAGAAGCATGTTGTTATGTCAAACATGCAAGTAAATTATATTATCTGGAGATGTTTTAAGATGCAAGTAAAATCAGATTAAATTCAATAAATCTGATTGTAATAAAATTATAATTCCAGGAAGATAAAGTGAGCACATCTATAGATTTGAAAAGCATTATTGTTTCACTGTAGTTTCTTATATAGTTTAGTGGTTTTGAAGTGCCACATGTTCTATTCTAGTTTTCATAAGAAAATATATCCTTTAAAGGAGAGTTACTTCTCTCTAATTTTCTTTGGCTTATTAATAGTTGGAGTATGAGAAGCTGATACCGCCAGACTCGTTTACTTTTTTCTGGTAAATTCCATGTTCTGCTTACTTTACAATTTAGTAAAGCTATATGTGCTTTGGAATATTGGGAAAATGCTAAAATTGTCAGTACTCTGATTCCCACCTCCTAAGTCACCTTCTTTTCATCTTCATCCAATCAGACAAAATGCAGTGTTTTCAATATATATACTAGGTTCCCTTAACCCTAGTAACAAAGAGATAACTTTGTTATGCACTGAATTCCTTCCCTTGAACAGAAGTTTATTAATATTGTTACCTTTTCCAGGGGGGATATTTGGAAGGCTCACTCTTTTTTATGAATATACCTCAAAATGTCCTGGAAGAATGCTCATGGGAAGATCAGGGGTCCCTGCTTCACTGAAGATCTAATATTTAGATTTAATATTATTGGATTTGACTTAAATATTATTTTTAAATATAAACAAATGGTTTGCTCATCCATAAACTGAATTTTATATTGTACAAGAAGCACACTGTGAGGAGAGAGTAAATCCAGGCTCACTCTAATTACT